TGCTGAGCAAGTTCGTTGAGTGAATATCTCAATGGAATCTGCTGGAAGGAGCTGCGGCTGCAGCACGTGAAAAATGGACTTGCTTGAAACTGCTCAGATTTATTTACTTGATAATCGGAGGTTTCTGGATCATCTCAGCCTACTTTAACCCCTGTTTACAATGAGTCATGTATAGGTCTATATTTAATTCAGAACTCTTAATGACTAAGGCTTCGACTGTGTCTTCTCGATAGATAACCATCAGGGAAAAAAAGTATCATTTTGTGTGATCCTAGTAAATCCACTGTTTGTGTGACCCCCTCTAAAGAGATATATCAGAGAGAGAAAGAGGTAGTCTTGCATAAATGCTACATGCATTCTTTAAGAAAAATAAAATTTGAATTGTAGGCAGAATGTGTCACATTTGTGCTGAAACAACAGGCACAGATACCTCAGTATTTGTAGAATAAATGGGAAAAACAGCACTGTTTAAAGTCTCTTCTTGGTGGTGTTGCACAAATAAAGCTTGTGAACTCCTCATTACAAAAGTTTAACTTCATAGGTTTTTGTTTCTGCAAATCATGAAAATTGCTGCACAAAACTGGACAACCATGAAGTCACCAAAGTAACTTCTGAGATCTTAAACTGCAGGTCATCACTAGCAATACATGTCCAGGGATCAAAAAACAAGCAGTCATATGATCGAACCGACACGCTGCAAAGAAACTCAGATCATCTAAAGCAATCTGAGATGAAACAAAGAGATAACGCCTCATTGCACAGAGAAACTACGAGCACACACAACTGCTGTACAGCCGGTAGATTGAGTTTGAAAGAGGAAACCAGTCTATTAACTGTGAACGATGTTTACAACAAGCAGTTTGTGCCATAATTTCATTGTTTGCTTTTGTTTTCTCTTTCAAATAAATGAAAGTAACCAGTTCGTCTTAGTTTCTTGCCACACTGGACCTATTTCCAGTCATGTTTCTGTTTAAATAACAACCAAACTGTAATAAACCCTACTCTTCCTTTATAGGCCTGGCAGTCTAAACTGTGCTCTATGAGCCCAACAAGACGGAGCCAAAGTTCTTCAGCAGAGAGGATGTCAGGTCAGGCAGGAGAACACTCATCTGGACAGTAAAATATCACAGAGGTTAGCAGAAACCTCACAGGCTGCTCAAACTGAATTCTTCTCACTGAGAAACACTTGAATGATGTCCAAGATGTGACCTAACCACGACTTGAGTTGGCACAAATGTTGCCAGGCAACAACACCTCGTTTTTGTGATTCAGGCTTCGGTAAAACCCTCAAAATCCACAGATAAGTGTGTTGTTTATTTAATGAAACTGAAGCAGCGTCACACTTACAGGAGGGATGCACATCAGAGGTTTTTGTGAGAGAGATCACATGGCAGCCATCATATCCAAAATCAACCAATTTGCAAGTAAAGCAAGTTAATTAAAATGTTTATCAATGAAAACACAAATGCACAAACAGCAGATACAAGACAATATCCTACATGTACAGTATATTAAACTGTTATTTCTGCTGTTAAAGGTCAGCAAGGTGTCAGTAATGAGGAATGAAGTGACAAAAGACGTGATCAGTGTCACATTTATTGTCTTAAATGTGTTTGTTTTATGAAATAATGCAAACAAAGGACAAAGTAATACAGCCTGTGATGGAAGAAAGACTCAGATGTTTACTTAAGTAAAAGTAGCAACACAGAAATTTAAAAACTATCAGTTACAAGTAAGAACCCTACATTCTGAATGTTACTTAAATAAAAGTATGTAAACATTATCATCAAAGGTGTTTTAAGTATAAAATAACAGTATTTATTATTTTTATATATGACACAAGGGGATTATTATTTATAACATGCTAACATGCGAGTAAAATTTAAATACTGTAGCTGACTAATGTAGAGCTGATTTGACTCATTTTGTATAGTATATTATATACATTTCATAGCAAGTTGTTGTATTTTATATCATCATTATGTTCTGACAGATATTTAAAATTACTTTCTGCTTTAAAGGAACTAGTAACTGCAGGTGAGTTTAAAAATACAATATCTCCTTCTGGAGTGTGGTGGATTCAGTGTAAATAGCTGCATAAAGGAAAAACAGTCAGTCAATAAACAGTCAGTGTAGCAAATCTAAGGTAATATAAAAATGAAAGCAATAGAAATATTTACAGTGTGTAGAAATGTGCAAATTACTCACCTAAGAATGTGCAAGATTACAAAATATGTAATTAATTCGTTAATGCGATGATGTACATGTGAAAATAAAGATAACAACATTTCTAAAGCTCAATATTCAACTGAAAAACCAAACATGTGTCTCCCTAATGTAAAATCTACAATTTCTGACAGTGAGTTTGCCAGGTTTGGTACCATTTTGCTCAAACAGAGACCAAAACAAACGTTTTTATCTGGCCACCCACACGACCGACTCGCAGCCTAATGCCGTGTGAGTTAATGAATTATTGTTCATCCTGAAGTTTTTCCAACAGTCGAAGGCAAAACAGATCATTATGAGGTGAACGAGGATAATAACAGCCCATAATAAACACAGCTGGCTACTACAGAGTCGACAACACTCATAGAACACAAAACGACTGCCACACAAATAACTCTCATCCATCTGCATCACATCCACAACTACAACAACATGTCAAACAAACAGTTCTAATATCACATCAAGCCGCAGAATGTTTCTGTCAGAGAAAACAATATCCAACCATCACTGCCACAAAATATGACAAAACACGAGACTAAAGATAATAAACCAACCTTTGGATGGTACGGTGAACTGTGTTGTCATTTCACTTTTACATAGTGTTTAATGTTAGAGAAACACAAGAGTTCACGAGTCAGTTTGAACCAACCATGACTCAATTGAAGGACAACGTTGAAACGTCAGTATGTGAGAACAGTTTCACTTTTTCTAGCTATTTGGCTTTAAAGTGTAGTTTTAACAGAAGCGGTTTCTTGTGAAAGCAGCTGAGCTCTCTGTTCCATCCACAGCGCAGGACTGTGTGGAAAATCTACATTTGTTTCTGCTTTTTTTAACTGCATTACAAGCTTTCTTATTGTGTAAACAAACCTTTCTGAGAGCCATTGTTAGGTAATATTTCTTGGCGCAAGCTAACCTCGAAAATTATTTTAAAAATTCTGCTTTGAAAAAGTAATAGAGATAAAAATGGTCCTCTTCAAAAAGTGTCCCCAGTGTAACTGACATTACTACTTTTTCTTCTTTTTTCCCTTTTATCTGTTTTTTTTTTTTTTTTTGGTTTGTTTTAATAGCTCTTACATGTTTCTGTGAATATTTAAAGTATTTACCATTGCTTTTAGTGATAAATTGTATTTTGAAAAATTTGTGCTGGTTCATCAACAAATCAACAACAAAAAAACAAAGCTGAATGAGGATTTGCTTGTGAATTTTTAACTCTGGCCTGAGCCATGCTAGCTGATTCCCCCCACTACCAGTCTTTATGCTAAGCTATGCTAATCATGACACCGAATCCTTAATTTAACTGCTCATACAACTTGCATTTCATTACTCCTTCAAATGGTGATAGTTTCCTTTTTTAAAGAGTTCTCCTTATGAGACACTCCATCCAAATGTAGAAATCATAATTATGTAACTTCACCGGTTTCTCCAGAGCTCATGGAAAACTCGAACTGCAGATGTTATCGTGTGTGAAATCCATTTTAGATCAAACCTTTACTTGCAGAGTCTGTTCAGGTTTAAAACTGTACATGATGTTTATGTGGAATCTGAAACACAGAAGAGGCCCGTTGTTGTAAAAAAGCAGCAGCTCGGTCCTGTCTGCAGGCTGAAGGTCAAGAATCAAATGACTTTGTTTGACTTTCCGAGGCAGTCATGTGTGCCATTATTTCAGTTCTTCCTCAAAGGAAACTCCTGATTGGTGAGTGCAAAAATATACAAGTGACTTAGGTGGGATGGAATCTGAGTCACAAAGTCAACCTTTACTGTTTCTGTAACAATTCACCTCATATGGCTCTGACAGAAGGGGAGGGCTGCACAAAATGTCTCAGCTTGATGCCAACAAACTCCGCAGCTGCAAGACTTTATCACAAAATAAAGGTTACTTCTCTTTATACGAGACAAGTTTTATGATCGCTTAATCAAAATCATGTTGACATTCAAGGTTATTGTGACTTTAAACATTGCTGTGATGAAGCCTTGTGACGTTAGTGGAACATTTGGAGTTATCCACAGTCCAGTGGCCCCTCATAGCTGCTCATTTCAAGGAGTCTCCTGCAACATGTTGGGCTGTTTCACTGAATTATTACTTCTGGGTCAAACAGTTTTCAAAGGTGGGACATGTGTACTTCTGCATCCTGACATGGAGTTAATGAACACAAAAATGTTCAGGAAACTCTGCTCTGTTAGGGGCCACAGTCATTCCTGGAAGATGCACCCTGCTGGTTCATGTAGGCCAACCGTATTCTTCAGCAAATGGGGAAAAACCCTGGCGCGATTCAGGTTTGATAAGGGAGCACGAACTTCATTGAGAAATCTGCAGATTGACGCAGAATTAGAACTTGTTCTACTTTTTTTTTTTTTTTTTTATTTAAATTTAAAACTTGTGCAATCACTAAACAGGCCTCGGAGTTTACCATAGTCATGTACTAAATTCGGCGTACAAACAGTAGATCAAGCACATTTAAAAGTACCAAATTCAAGGAAGCGGTTAAAACCAGAGTGCGGCATGAGGAGAGTTTGGTTGGCGTATCAACCAATACAAACAACTAATGCTACTTTGTGGAAGCTGGGGGGCTTTTTAGTGAAACATTTTAATGCCGAATTAACCACAGGCAAAACTGAATCGCAGAATTTAGAAGATGATGTTGTGCTAGTTGGGTATACTTTAAGACATGTCAGATCATCTTAAAATGAATGGTTTTCAAACGGAGTTCGGCATGATGTGGTTAGTTTTGTCTGCAAATAGCGAATAAAAAAGGGAAAAGAAGCATTTATCTCACCTGTCAGTGAGCGTTGACTGTGTGCCACTCATTGGATCTTCCCTTGTGAGTTTCCGAGGACTTCAGCGGAATAACATTTTCATCATATTGTCTTTTTTGTGGTTAAAACAGCTTCTTTATCTGTCTCCTCGGTTTCCGCCCATGCCCATAAAAGCGATCATTACATCCTGCATAAATACAGAAACGAGGGTTTAGAGAAAAATCCCAGCAGAGCGACGTTGCCTGTAAATCCAGAAGTGTGCTGTTTTGTTTGTTTTTTTTTCTTCTTTGGATGTGAATGTATTTCAAAACGCAGCGGTTATCTGCATCAGGGGAGACATCTGGAAAACCTTGAAGAGCCGCCAGTAAAAAGTCTCCTCACTTTCTCAGATTACCTCCAAGTTCAAGTAGAAGAGAGAAAGAAAAAAAAAGCTCATTTTTCCTAGGCAAACACGTCCACGATGAGCCTGTTTTCCGATGCCCCGAGTGAGAAAGTCCGTCAAACTTCGGCTCCAAACTCTTGTCCAAACTTTTACTGGTAATTTCCGCGGATGTCCTCTGCGCCGATCCGATCCTGCAGCATCCTCCGGCAGGTCAGCTCGGTTTAACGCAAACTAACGTGCAAACAGCGGATCGCCGCTCCGCTGTGTGATGCAAATGGGGGGAAAAAGGAAATGCTCGCTGCCCCCTCCCCAAAAACGCAAAGAGAGAGAAAAAAAAAAAAAAAAAGAAAAAGAGGCGAAAAACCCACCTTCCATGCCGGTGCATTCAGGAGCTCCTCGGAGTTTCCTAACTTATCATGATGAAGCAGTTTTACGTCGCTCTATCTCATGTTTATGTGCAGCTGGGCCAACACAGACGTGCTAAATGTAACTAATCTGATTATACTTATGTGTTAACACATACTGAAAGCGATAAAAAGACACATTTGTGCAGATTTTGCAAGAAAGCCCACCAGCTTCCACTTCACTGCAGCTTTTGTCTGTTTCACCTGTTACCGTACTACAGAAAGCAGCTAAATAAGTTAATTTACAACACTTGCATTTGCTTTCTCCACCACATTCCTCCCTCATTTATGAGACTTTTTAGATAAAAAGATCTCACATGAAACATCCATCCATCCATTAGCTATACACCGCTTAATCTTCACTAGGGTCGCTGGAGTCTATCCCAGCTGACTTAGGGTGAAGGCAGGGGACACCCTGGACAGGTCGCCGTTTATCACAGGGCTACACTTAGAGACAGACAACCAAGCACACTCACATTCACACCTACGGACAATTTAGAATCACCAATTAATCTCAACATGTTTTTGGGCTTGTGGGAGGAAGACGGAGAACACGGAGAGAACCCACGCTGCACGGGGCAAACTCCACGCAGAAAGATCCCGGTGCCCCCACCCAGACCCGTACCGGCGACCTTCTTGCTGCGAGGCAACAGTACTAACCAACTGCACCACCTTGCATCCCACATGAAACATATTTTCAATAAATAAGATGCATTATTAAGGATTAAAGCAATTTTTAGAACTTGAAAGGCTTTTTTTTTTTTTTTTTACCCAAAGAGGTCAAATTTTCCAGAATTCATTTTCTTCTTTCCTCATTAATCATCTTCAGACAACTCCGAGATTTCTCCTGACCCCCTGACCTTTGAATTGTTTATAAAGAAACTTTAGAATAATTTACACTGAAAAAATATTCAGTTTACAAAAAGGTAAAAATCTGGCAACAAGATGATGTAACGTTTAAAAACTGTAAACAATAATTTTCAAAAGTAAAAATATGAATTTTTCCAAAATAATGATAAATTACAGGTGATTTTAATGTAATACACTGTAAATGAACAAATTACCTTTTGTAAAAATAAATAAATTAATAAATGTGTTTTTTGATGTGGGCATTCTTTATAGTTTTGGCCTCGTGTTGTCACAGGTAACTGTGATGGAAATGTGATGTAGTAGTTGTGAGTCTCTCTGTGGTCATTTTTTAGTCTGTTAAATCTCTTCATGCTCATTGGATTTTACATCTCTTCCTGTTTTTGTAGTCAGTTTTAAGTCTCTGTGGTTACTATGAGTCTCTTCTTCAATCGTACATGAGGTTCTACCTCCTTAGCTCTCTTACCAGTTGGGATCCTGGATCAATTAAATAATCCTTCCAGGTTTGTAACATGAGAAATTTATGAGTGAATATGAATACTCCGAGTCTAATCCTGAAGTTAGAGTTGATCTACTCTGAGATAGGAAAAGCTGAGTTTCCAGTTCCAGAACAGTAGATCTGAGTTAGTTTAATCAACTTGGAGTAGTTTCACCTGGAGTTAAGCGCGTGCACCACAACTACAAAAAGCCAGCATCAATGGAGCCCCTATTCGATGAGTCACCATGGCAACGGGGAATCGAAGGGCTGTGTTTTTCACCCACTAGAACTGGAAATCTTAATGCACTCATACAGCGAGTTTGAACGCATTTTTAAAAAGTGCAACACTGCTGCAGCTGCAACACAGAGGGAGACAGCGTGGAAGAACATTGCTGCTCGGGTCAATACGTAAGTTTAAATGTCGTCCTTTGCAATCACAATAATATTACAGGCGAAACTGCTGGAATGGCAGCCTATTAATTTATTTCATTTTGGTGCAATCTGGCGGGGCAGAAGCGAACTTGGCAGCAGCTAAGATGAAATATAAAAACACTATTCAAGTCTGAGGTTGCAGCACAATGTCATTAGCAGAATATAATTTAAAATTAATTTAACAGATCTCTACATCATTCACCTGCAATCCTGTGGAACTCATTCTTTATGGCTCTGACAGGTTTATGTCCAGGGAAAACGACAACGATGGGTAAAAGCCGTTTCAGGGTGAGGCACACTTCTGACGGCCCTGCATACAGTTACCTTACTCACGCACATTTCATTTAAAGAAAAGACGTTATTGCAATCCAGATGTTACGGGACGGTTCGAAGACTCAAGTGCGAGGCAACATAACACGGCAGGCAGGTTCAAACAAAAGATTTATTGTACACACAGGAAATAAGTACAAAATTCAAGGAGGTTGGCTGGCAGGGCAAACTACGCCCATTAGTGGTCGGGCTGAAAAAAAGAACTAAAGACACGGACCTGAGTTCGGTAACACCGAGTCGGGAACCGAGAAACCAAAACTTTGACTAAACTAAACAGAGGAACAAACTAAAGGAGGACACCAGAAGGTGCTAACGAGGAAGCTCAATAATCAAGACTCAACAGAAAAGGCTACCAGACAAAAAGCTATCGACTGAGCTAGCGCTACGCACAGACAGGCGGACTAAATGCAGAGCTAGGATTTACACAACATACAGACAGGCAGACTAAAGATGTCTCAAAAGCTAGCGCTACATACAGACGGGCTAAGTACCGATGCTAAGTTTATGATGCTAGCAAACACTGAGAGAAGCAGACCTGACAGGAGCCGACCGAGTAGTGAGGGGAAGCAGGGAGGAGGGTAAGGTAGCGAAGAGGGATTGGCGTTGCCGCGGCTGCGGTGGAGAGGCAGGCGGAGACCAAGAGCGGACGTCAAGGAATCCAGGGAGGGGAAGGTGAGCGGAGCTGGTGCCGGTGAACAGACGGAGCCGTTGTGGTGGAGTGGCGTCGGGACTGACAAGCTGACGAGAGCGGACAGGTGACGGGTTGGTGGAGGAGAATCCGGTTTCAGTGGCAGGAGTGGAATGGTGATGGTGGCAGAACCGGTGAATGGTTCGACATTGTCTGGCCGGAGCTGAAATACCAGCAAACCGGAGGTTGCAGCTGGAGCGGACCAATCCCCACGTACCAATCAGCAGACTGGTAACCAGACACACCTGCCTGTGTGCTGGGACGCCAGAGAGAGAGCAGGGCAGGGACTGAGGCTGCAGGGACATGACACCAGAGATGGCAAAAGTACTCACATTCTTTACTAAAGTAGAAGTAGAGATATTTGTGTAAAAATAGACTCTGGTAAAAGTAGAAGTACTGATTCAACTCCTTTACTCAACATTAAAGGAGCTAAGCCTACTGCTGAGCTACTGAGAGTGATGACCCTGAATGAAGTTGACGCGCCTGATCGCCGTTGCTCTGCTTTAAGTATTGATTGTCCACTCATGTCATTAAGTTGCCGGTTCAGTGTGCTTTATTTCTTGTCCTCTTGCACAGGCTTTCACAATCAAACATTTGCAGCATAAGCATACGTAGCGCCACTGCGGTCAAAAACTCTTTGCCCTTCCGGGCCAAATACCAAGCGACATCAGTGACGTCTTCCCCTTTACCTTCCCAGGTAAAATACAGCTCCCCCTAATGGGGACAAGTAGTACTACAACCACAACCTCTGGCTCCTATACTCAAGTAAAAGCAAAAAAGTACATGGTTCAGAAATACAAAAGTCAAAAGTAGAAATACATTTTTAGCCTCTTTTGATAACTCTGCAAAACGACAAAAGTTTTAAGTCCATAAAAAAGGATTGTTTTCATCAAAAACCTGCACAGTGCTGGTACAGAGAAAAAAAAAATCACTAGACAGTTTTCCATTTCAGCAACATTGTGAACATTAAACATTATAATCAACATGGAAATACTCATCTCTTAAAGACTACCAAAATCTTTTATTGAGCCTCAGTAGAAGCTGGTTCTCAAAGTTCTTTAAATGAAGACGTGCCCTTTTGGATCTGAAAATCAGTCCTGCAGTGCTACAAAGCCTCTCGCAGGCAGCTGAGGCAGGCAGGGATGTGTTGAGCTTCAGTGACAAATTGCACACTGTTCGTAAAGATAAAGACGTTTGTTGTTACTTCTTTTGCATCATGTCGTCATCCGCGAAGGTTGAAACAAGTAACAAGCCAGTTTTGAGAATGTAAAGAGTAGAAAGTACAGATATTTGTGTTCAAATGTAGGGAGTGAAAGTAAAAAGTCATCAGAAAAATGAATACTCAAGTAAAGTACAGATACCTGCAAAATCTACTTTCTTCCTCTACTGCAATCTTACCTCCACTTATAAATGAAGTCCATGCGCCACTCCTTCTGGACAAAAATATCCATTACATTTTTGTAAGCTGCAAAGTTGCTGACACTTACCCTGCAGCTGCAGAATCACGAGAAGCATGTCTGGGGTCAGAGCGCCCCCTGCCATGAGGCCAGAGAATTGCCTGCCTCACCAAGAATCTCTTCTCAACTGCTTTATGATCGCTCAGCACATGAAGCACGTTACACACATACAGTTGGTAACAAAAATAAACACTGTGCATTATTATATACATCAGCTGAACTATGGAAAGTCACAGACAGCAGTACGCTGTCACTGCATGGCAGCCAGCGCAGTTAGTGAGTGATTGCGCAATCCAAGGTGAGGCTCAGTTCGCTGCTGCCTCATAGACTGTATAAAAGATGGACGTAGCTGCCGTGATGTCACCCGCTGGTTTCTGCACTGAGAAAATGAAGCCAGGGTTTTGCTACTTCCTGGTTGACAAATCAACCAAATCGTTTGAAATTGATATTACCAATATAGAAAATCCAAATTACGATGCTATTGAACGCAACGTCGTACTGCTTTTTGGGTACTCCCATTAAGTTTGGATTGAGAGGACATTTGCGAAAGTCGGTTGATGTCCAAGAAAAGACGAGAAGGAGCGGCATAAATAAATGTGTTTCACAGAGAATGAAATGGAGAGGAGACATTCAAAAAAATTTCATTAAAAGGAGGTCAGTAGCAGAGGTCAGACTGACAGCACTGACAGCTCAGAGTCCGGAGAGGGCCTGGGTCAGCCTGAATGCAGACAGGGACTATCAACATGTGTTGTGGAGGCCAGCATCCAGGGCCAGGGCAGCAACCATGACCCTCCAGGTGAAAATGCAGAGATGAAGTGAGTGTTACACGTGTATTTTACCAAACAACACAATTTATTTGTTATTCTGTCGTAATTGGGTGAATTAAATGACTGAAAAGTAATTGTTTCTATGACTAAACTGATGGCATTGATTTCTGTGTTGTTTTTAATTATGTCGTTTACAATATGGCAAGACATTTCACAAATTGCAATTCTTTTATTATGTATAATGTTGGTTAAAGAGCTATTAACTCTTAACTGTTTCAATCTATACCTTAAGATGCAACAGTGGTAGATGACTGCCAGGAGTTGGATCCTGACAATGATCACTTGTCAGAAGAATCAGAAGATAGCAGCACCAGCAGACATGTACAGCAAGATCAAACTTATTATTTACCTTCTTAATGCAACTATACAGTCTGTTTCTGTCATCAGAGTCAACTTTAAAGTGCTGTTTTTGGTCAATTTAAGCAGAGCTAAGCTTCTCACTTTGTTGTTTTTGTGAATAGACGCTGTAGACGAACATACACTGTTGTTAGAGCATATAGGCTAGTATCATCTCCTCATAACTTGATGTTTGTCCTTGAACAATTTTACCTGAATACACTGTCACTTGGCTCTTCCTGCTTTTGTTCGCTTCGGTCCTCTTGCTTTTACAAATCAGTTGATCCGACACAGAGTTTGCTCCCAGGATTTGGTTCTCAGAGTTCACTTGCATATTCACACAAAAATATGTTTTATTTGTGTTAATAATAATAACCATATAATAATTCTATATATTATAATTAATTATGATATATATATATTAGTTAATTATTAGTTAATTATTTTAATATTTTAATTTATTACAATTTTCTGTGGCCCCCCAAAAATATCTGTTGTACCCCCCTGTGCCCCCCCCCCCACTGAAAATATCCTGGATCCGCCCCTGCCTGTACTACGAAGCGAGATCAACATACCCAGGGTATGGTTTAGAGATCCGGATCGACTAACCCTAACAATCGCACTCAGGATAACCGGTCCTACGACGGTGGTTATCAACTCGATAAGTCAACCCAGGTTTGTTTGATTAGAGCATGAGCGCGTGCACATAAAATGGGCGGCGTTATCCGCATCTGATCAATCGCGACTATGGACAAGTCTGGCTGCAGAGCAGCTCACTTTGCCGCCGAGGAACAGAATATAATCTTTACTAAATATGAAGAATAATGTAAAAACATCACAGGAGCAAAAAGCAGCGGCGTTGCAGCGGCCAAAGCCAGAAAAGAACGCTTGTAGGAAAGCTGCCAACTGTGTGAATGCATAAATTCATTAGTCTATAATAAAATATAATATGATCACTGATCGTATCAGATAATCAGTCAGATATCAAAAAGACAATGTGAGGAGTCCTTTAACTAATTTGTTGCCTAATGTATACTTGTGGTATATCTGCCATTTTTTACTTTCAGCTGCGATCCTGGCAGTGCAAAAAGGTAGTGGGAACAAATTCAGAACAAACAGAAACATAATTCATTATTAACATATCCTACAAATACAAGCTTTAATGCTAAAGTCAGTTTACTGTTGTGTGGTGATACTGGTACGGAAATAACAATGAAATCGCTTTGACATTGCCTGTAGCCAACGGGGAAAAAATGAATGAAGGAAGACAGGAGCTCAGAAATCCTAGTCAGGGTGCGCTATTTTGCCGGTCCTGAAAAACCCTCACACTCCTCAGTGATCCCTCACAATTCACGCTCCGATGGGTAGCGGGTCTTCTATAAATGCTGGTGAAGCCATTTTGTTGAGAACTGCTTCGTTTTCTGCTCCTTCTGAAGTTTTACGGGAGAGAACTGACTTCCAGTGGGCGGTGTTTTTATTCCCGGTGATCTCAGTCTCCAACATAACCTGCTGAAGAGCAGGCTAGCCGTACAGTTTAAGTTACCATGGTGATGTACCCCGGTAAGAAGTGCACCATCTTCGTAGGACCGAAAACCCAGCATTTAACCTGAAGTTACCTCGCTAACCCCAAATCCTGCTTCCTAGTACAGGCCCCTGGTCTCGACCAGGTTAGGTTCATAGAGTCTGTTACTACGGTAACTGACCGAGGTCTTAAGTTACCTCTCTCTGTGAAACATTCTAGAGTTACCCCTCTGTCTCTGGTTTGAGTTACCTCCCTTTGTGAAACGGAAAACTGTTGAGTTTCCCCAGCTGAAAAGCTGTGGTTGGCTCCAGCGCAACAGTTTTTCAAGGGACCCGCCTGTAGGTGGCAGCGCCGCGCGTCCACCGAAGAAGAAGAATCAGTTTTTCACCCACGAAGAAGAGCTCATCCATCCACAGGCTAACCGCTACTTAGCAGACAACGTAAACACTGGCATTTCTGTGGGGAGATCGGGTTATTTCAGCAGTTTAGATCTTAGCTTTTCTTCCGCTTTTTTCTACAGAATTACTACACGATGTGGCCGAGTAGCTAAATGTCTCGTGATCAGTCATGATTGATTGGATCTGGGATTTACGGAGGCCTTGAACTTGTCCTGCTAACGGATGGTAAGATTCGGCTCATAGGAACAGCTAGCTAAGCTAAGCTAACATCATCTTTTGCAAAGGTTTTCTCTTCGCAAATTTTTGATTTAATGTTACTCTGCTTGTTGGTGAACCTAAGAGGACTTAAAACGTTTTATAAATGTATTTTGAAGTCACTGAGAGGTTTTGCATCGCATCGGATCAGAGGAGAGTTTGACAAGCTTTTCCCGTTGTACAGACAGAATTTGACCCAGAAAACAAAACAGTTAGATATTCCTGAGCTTGTACTCAAATAACGGAATCTGCCAGGACAGCCCTTGCACTTTTGTAAATGCTGGAGCCTTCTGTCACTTTCGGCTAATGAATTGTTGCTCTAAGCTGCATTCAATTTTTTTTTTTAAAGTCATGTTTTTGTGTGCTGTTGGCCTTGTTCTCCCTCAGTCAGAGGCCCAGTGATGGGCGGTACTGAACAATAGTCAGCACTTATATACACAGTACAGGAGGCTGATCAATAACTCGTTCTGTTGCCAGGCTTCTTCGATAATTTGAACCATCAAATGAACTAACATTAAACTGATAGATCTTATAGTAAGGTTTTGATCTTTCTGGTGATAGTTTTTTTATTTTTTTATTTTTACTATCCATAACTAACAAATCTTGTATTTTTTGCCAAAACAAACATATGTCTTATTCTTCTGTGCCATCAACCAAATTATTAAAAAAATACTCTTGCAATTAACAATTATAATAGTCTGAGCAATTGTGTTTTCAATTAGTCAGTTGTGTGACTTATAAGATGACAAAAAAATGTTGATTTCCTAAAGCCTAAGATAACAGATGTTTTGTTTTCTTATCCATAACCTGAAGATATTAAGCTTTTTTGCATTAAAGAACAAAGAAATCAAAAATATTTAAATTTAAAGAGCCGAATCAGACAGTTTATACTTTTTTCTCGAATTACTCAAATCCATACGATAGCTGGCGATTAATTTTATAGATGACAACTAATTGATTGATCATAGCAGGTCTATTAAACGCACAGCTGTCAGCTACGTCTCCACACTGGGCGACTCCACGGCTGAATATTTCATCAATTCCAACTCAAAGTTGCAATTTAAAACATTTCAATTAACAAATCGCAAAGGCTGCAGTTAAGGATATAAGTTATGTAGTGTGTCTGAGTCAGGTTTTAAAGTGTCACATCGGTGGTTTTACAAATTCACATTGTTGTGTGACAGTCCTTCTTCAGATGTTATCTCTTGTGATAATAATCCTCCATCATGTTTTAAATTTATTATACAGTGAGATTTTGTACAGAAGTAGGAGTTTAATAACTGATATCGTACATCAACTTGCACTTAGTGTCCCCCAGAAAAATATATATTACATATTTTCACCAACTGTTTGCATGTGAATAGTCTCCAACAAATATTCAGTTTCATCTGTGGGTCAGGTGTTGAAAGAGATATTAACAAATTGTGAGTCTTTTCATGGGATTTGCTGATAGCAAGAAAGAAAGTAAGAAGACCAGCATATATCTGTAGCTGCTGTATCCCGTAATAACTTTCCTAGAAAGGTGCTCTTTTTACCTTAAATGTATCTTAGTTAGCTCCTCTTTCAATTTCTTTGTTTTTAAACTTTTTTCTTTTATGTCCTTTGTGACATTTATCTATAACAAAACTCACCAACTGTCCTTATAATTAGTGTCTCAACATCTTGCAGAGTTTTTTTGTGAAGCCTGATAACCAAACAGACACGGTAATTAAAGTTTTTGGGTGACTGTTGTGTAATTCAGATGTTGCAAAGGAGTTATTTAGTAGATTTGCTGCTTCAACTCTGTCTCACAGTTCAGAGATTTAAAAAAAAAAAAACTTGTGCAATAGTAATAGTATGCAATAGGTTATTATCTTGTCACTGAGACTTTTCTGAAATGCAAATAGCTTAAAATTCTTTATTTTGTTTACAGTTAGAGAAAACTTCCACCTATCATTATTATGTTAACTTTTAGATATCTGTACATTTAGAGTACATATGTCAGGAAGAAGTGAACGCATTCAATGCATTGACTTTTCTATCCTAGACCTCATGATTTCTGATATGATCAGGTATCTTAAAGGCATTTTTCACCTGGAGGTGTTATCAGCATATAACATCATGGGAAATGTGGTCTCAACTCACATTGCTGTTCTCTCTCCTCTCAGCCCATGATTCAACTGGAGAAGCCAGTCCTGACTGGTACCATGCCAGTGGTATGGCCCACCATCCTTGACCTGGGTAGGGATGAGTGCAAAAGAATCCTCCGGAAACTGGGTGAGGTCAAAGAAGACAAAATAGACTATAAATCAACTAAGAGTAAAACACAGTGTATACCATGTTTTTTGCATCAAGTTGAGCAGATTGTGTTCAAAACACTTTTATGTCAAAGCTGTCTTTGACACGAAGTGGGTGGATTTAAACAGATACAAACTGGCTTTGTGTGTTCTTCAGTTGTGTTTAAATGGCTGCAGAAACTCAGATGTTTAAATATTTTTTTGTGCTGCCTGGTGTTTGATGTGTGTTTCTGTCTCCCAGAGCTGGAGGCTTATGCTGGAGTCATCAGTGCCCTGCGAGCCCAAGGAGACCTGACAAAGGACAAGAAGGACCTGCTGGGAGAACTCACTAAAATCCTTGGGTAACTGAGCCCTACATGTTCCAAATCTGATTGACTGAGCAAACTGTTGTCAATTTGCTCATTTATGAAAAATGAAAAAAAGAGCTCAACACAGAATTTGCTTCATTTAAAGTGAGTCTTTCTCTTTTATCCATCTATGCCCTCATCCTTCCAGCATCTCAACAGAGCGCCATCGTGCAGAAGTGCGCAGGGCTGTCAATGATGAACGCCTCACCACCATTGCGTATCAGTAAGTGTGTAACCGTCAAACGCTTTACTTGTGTTTGTATCTATTGTCCTCTGAACAGTCGTCACTTATTTCCTTGTTTGTTTCTGCAATTTTGAGCTATTTGATGATGTAAATGGCCATGTTTCAGAGCAATGTTGTGACAGCGAGCTCCACAGCTGCAAGCTAGTGTTGCAATGCTATTGTGTGGAAATTTGGTTGTAATTGCAAATTAATTATATCAAGTCTGCAACAATAATGGAACTCTGACCACATGGAACATAGACATGAAGATCATTGTGACAAATTTCAGATTCAGTTTTATTTTTGTAGCACAATTTCACAACACAAATCATCTCAGGACATTTCACATAGTAAGGTCAAGCTTACCCAAACCCAATTATTTCATTTAAGCAGCATTTGACAGTATGAAGAAAGAAAGCCTCTCTTTTAACAAGAAAACCCCTCCAGTAGAACCAGGCTCAGGGAGGAAGGTCCACTTCAGTCCAAACACAACTATGGGTTCAGCTAGCTATAAGATTTCATATGGACCTTCCTGGTGTCAAGGCAGTGATTTCCAATGACTTTAGTGTATCCTTAACTTTTTCCTCTAGCGCCATCATCAAGTCAGCTTGGAAACCTAATGATATTCCCATCATCCTCAGCTGTAGTTAGCTTCTAATAAACAGAGCTCTCGTTTTCCACAACCTCTTTGCTCATTATCTGTTTCATTCTGTTTGATTTTCTAACAATGTCTTCCACCACAGCAACCATCATTACTTCAGCTAACTCTGTTAGTTGTGATGACATTTGAGATTGCTTTATCTCTGGTGCTTTGACTATCAGAATGATGATGATATCTGTAATTTTAATTGCAGACATTTAAACTCGGCTCTTAAATGTTAAAACAGTGGGCAGTAGAGTTCCACACAGAACCTCACCTACACTCTCTGATGGCCAAATGTTACTTCACTTTAATCCTCGCGGATGCAGAAACTCTTAACACTGGCCTTAGACTTTTTGTGGATTTGCTTCTAAAAATGTGCTACTGTCTGTCTGCTCAGACTAAGTAGACCTTTTCTACCAGATGTGAGGTTGTTGTCCACATGTGTAGCACTGAATTGGTGACTGTCGCTTTAAAAACAATGACTGAGGTACTGAACGATGCATCACATCTTTTCCAGCATGTCTGGTCCCAACAGCTCGTCCGAATGGTCCATCGAAGGACGCCGGCTCGTCCCTTTGATGCCGAGGCTGGTTCCCCAGACAGCCTTTACAGTCACTGCCAATGCTGTGGCCAGTGCAACAGCCAATCAGAATGCCTCCCTACTGCTGCCAGCAGAAACGGGAAACAAAGAAGGTAGGCTAGACTCGCTTTGAGGGAGTCAAGGTTGTGTTGAGATGCTCTGGACCCGGATGATTTGTTTCATTTCCTTCATGCAGTGGTTGTATGTTACTCCTACACGAGCACCACCTGCACCTCCACCAGCGCCACGGCGACCAGCGGCCCCATCGGCGCGACGGTGAAATCTCCTCGACCTCCCAGCCCTTCGTCCAACGTGGTGGTGCTGCCCAGCGGGAGCACCGTCTATGTAAAAAGTGAGTGTTGACAATGTCAAAGCATCATAAACATTTCCTCATTTATTCCTTCACATTTAAAGGATAGGACTGAATGAGAGAGATGGAGCTTTTTACTGTAGATACATGCATTGTGACAGCAGTTGTGGAGTAAAGACACTCAGGAAGGACAGAAGTATTATCATAGAAGAGATGAGGTATTATTGCCTCATAGAAAACTAATCGGGAAAAATTAATTTTCAGAATACAATCAAGATATGAAATGTGTTTGATGTTGTTGCACAGAGGACTGTACAGGACACCTCAGTAAAATAAGTGAGATCGCTGTTTTTTTCATTTATTGTATTTTTTCCTCAGTCAGCAATGTCACTGCTATAGAATAGTGTGATATACTTATAAATATGCTGCTCAAAAATCACCAAAGTTACAGCATTTATCAGAGATTTCAGATACTTTGGAGTTTTGTAAGATAATGAATCAAAGAAATTAATCTCTCTTTTATTCTTTATTAATGATTTATGGCATTGTAACTTTATTTTACTTCAAAAAGGACATTTCTGAGTTCTCTCTCCTTCTAGTCATAGTTGTGCTGTTTCCATAGAGGTGCAGGATTTTATATTGGAGAAAAAATTGAACTGAAAGTGAGTTAGTAATGTGACAAGAGACAAAAAGAGTCTTAGGATTTAGAGGGTTAATTCTGCTCTTGCATCACTTTTAGTGGTTGTGATGTTACCTCGAGGGCAGAGGCTGGATTTGAATGTGTTTTTTGTATATGTGATCTGAGTGGAATATTTTCTTGAGAAAAGCCTTCCAGTTGTACTGTCACTTGACTACAGTTAATGATATAATTACATTTTCACTGTTCGCTTTTAATGAACTATAATTTTTAGATGCTTTCTTTAACCTTAAAAAGGACAATAACAGTCATATCATATACTGTAGTGTTATAAATAAGAGAGGACAGTAGATTATGGGGCTAATTTTAGTTTTTTTTGGCCAAATCTTTGAGATTCATCAATTCTCAGGTCTCTGTTCCACTCAGACATTTAAAAGATCTACTGATCAGCCTAAAGGGGGCACTACAAGACTTGTTTTCTTGTTACTAAGTGATTTAAACATTATTGCTATGTCAACAGCAGTGAACTCTTTTGCAGTGTATGAATGCTCAGTGTTTCCACAGAACGAATGATTCATAAATTCTCTCCTCAATCAAGACCTGGCCAGTAGTCTGGGATTTAAATTTCGTAAACACGGCAGTGCTCTCTTTTTGGTTTCACAGTCCCAACAAGCATCTGATGCTGATTTTGCAGGCGAATTAAACAGCAGCGTGTGACAACAAAACATAGGAAGGGACTGAGACTTGGAGATCTGTGTCTGCATATAATTAAGATGTGATCAAAACTTGCACAACAGACCTTATAGTTGTATCTGTTGCACTTTCAAATTCACAGAATATTTATAAATCAGTGGTTTGAAATGTTTACTGATCACCTGTGATTTTATTTTAAACTTTAACCCTACAGATTACTTTCTTGGTTGGAAAATCACATGATGACTTGTACAGTTAGTGAAGTTACTTTTCAGCTCGGTTTTCGTGTCTTGTTGTAAATTCATTTTGGTTTTTTAGGCTGTTTTTTGGACAAAACAAGAAATTTACAGACATCTTGTTCTTGAAACTTTTACAAACGGAACTATTATGAGTAAGTTATCAGCAGAGTAATTAACGCTAAAAATAATCATTAGTTCACTGCAAAATCCTACATTTTTCCCTCCATTTCCCTTCGCAGGCGTTAGCTGCTCTGACGAAGACGAGAAGCCTCGCAAGCGAAGGCGCACCAACTCCTCCAGCTCATCGCCGGTGATGCTGAAAGAGGTCTCCAAGGTGTCGCCGCCGGTATCCAAGAACATCACAGTGCCGGTGAGCGGCAGCCCCAAGATGAGCAACATCATGCAGAGCATCGCCAATTCCCTGCCGCCCCACCTGTCCCCTGTCAAGATCACCTTCACCAAGCCCACCATCCAGACCACCAGCACCACTACGCAGAAGGTGAGCGCTTCTCCGTCGCCTCCTCACCTCACCTCTCTGCAGTCTGCTCATGAGTTTGAACGACTTGTGTTTGGTCAGGTAATCATCGTGACAACGTCGCCAAGCTCCAATTTTGTGCCCAACATCCTCTCCAAGTCTCACTCCCACAACAACGCCGCCATGGCCAAGCTGGGCTCCACCTCCATGCTGACCGGGCCCACCCAGAAACAGACGGTGGTGTTTCCAGCCAACTCCAGCCCTTCCTCCAACCCCAACGCAATCGCCGTTACAACAGTGGTCTCCTCCACTCCCTCAGTGGTCATGTCAACTGTTGCACCATGTAGGTCTTTCATCTGTCTGACATACAACAACCTGTAATACATGTGAACCATTTATTCATCCATTTAGCATCTATAGTTTAGAGGGACAAAATAAAGCTGGATTTAATTATGTTTTAAATCAAATCAAGTCAAATGTATTCATTGTAGCACATTTCAAAACAACCTGAGTTGACCAAAGTGTTGTACAAGTTGTCCAATATGTGCAGACAGACAATATACAAATATATTAGACTTTGTAAAATATAAAAGTCTAAGTAAAACAAAATAAAATAGTGTAAAATACCAAAACAGGGAAAAAAGAAGCAACTTGAAGGACCGATTTGTAAAATATATATAAATATGAAATATTGGGACTATTAAGAACAGCCAAACACATGTAAAGAACTACAACTCCACAGTGAGATTTAAAAAAAAAAACAAAAAAAAAACATCTTACAGACAAATTATCAGCTTTAAACCAAGATTTTTTTCCCCATGTTTCTGTCTTTTACTGCAGCCTTAAAGCTGCATTATTAGATATTTCTTTCCACTTGAGGGCAGCAGAGAAAGTAATATGTAATAATGATATAACTGTTAATAAAAATAATAATAATAAAAATAACAATAATAATATGAAAACTCAGGATTTTTGCTTTAACATAAGCTTAACACCAAATCTTACTAAAAGCATTCAAAGTAAGAAACTGTATATAATATATGTTACATTTTGAAAAATTTAACCATTAAATAACTCAATAGCAGACTTCAAGTTAGACTTTAAGCATTAACTACCTGAGATCTGTACCGTCTGCAGACAGAGGGATGGTTGGTTTACCCTGAATGACAAGTACAAATAATCTGAAAGACACTTTCTTTTAAATTTGCAGCCAGCTGTGCTAAAATAGCAGTATACCTGCAGGAGGTTACTTCAGAATCAGAATATCAGCGTCTCTGACCGTCTCTCTGTTCACTGTTTCAGCTGCAGCTTCGGCCGGAGTGAAGGTGGCTTCAGCCAGACTTCCTTCTCCGAAGACCCTGGTGGGTTCACCCACCCAGATCCTGGCTCAGTTCCCCAAACAGCAGTCACCCAAACAGCTGCAGCAGAGTTCACCTTTAGGAGCCACCAGCGTCGGTCAGGGTCAGAGCAGCAGCACATCACCGGGAGCCAAACCCACCATCCAGATCAAACAGGAGTCCGGTCAGCAAAGTCCACAGCTCTTTTTTTTATCTTATTAATAATAATAATAATAATAATAATAATAATTGATCGGGTGAATATAGCGCTTTTCTAGGCACTCAAAGACGCTTAACACTGTCAATTATTCATTCACACACATTCATTCCAGTGGTGGTAAGATACGATTGTAACCAAAATGCTCTGCATTTTTAAAACATAAACAACAGGACAGATCATCTGTTTGTAAGAAGTTGTTGTAGGATGATAAACCAGTGCTACAGTGTGTGTGTGTTTTTTGTCCTGACTAAATGTGTTGTGTGTGCAGGAGTGAAGATCATTACTCAGCAGGTGCAGCCGAGTAAAATCCTGCCCAAACCTTCATCGGTGGCTCTGTCCAGCAGCAGCTCCTCTCCCATTATGGTTGTCAGTAGCAACGGAGCCATCATGACCACTAAGCTGGTCACTCAGCCCACAGGTGGGGGTGTCTTAAGTTTATCGTAATACTCAATATGACTATATGATCAAATATAATCAGAGAAAATGTAAACATAGCTGAATGTCTGACTTTTTTGTACATAGTTTAGTCACTGATGCTACAAACAGATACTAGGCCGGTTATTAAGTATTAACACTATATTTCTGTCTGCAGCTACACAGGCCACCTATACTAGACCCACTGTTAGTCCAAACATCGGCGCCAGAATATCGGCCTCCAGTGGCGGGGCTACATACGTCAAGACCACCAGCGGCAGCATCATCACAGTGGTGCCCAAGTCTCTGGCCACTCTGGGCGGGAAGATCATCAGCAGCAACATCGTGTCTGGTGAGTCAGCGGTGTCCTGCAGCAGATCTGCACGATTTTCTGCATCAGTTTTAGAGTTTTTAATAGAATATTGTCTTCCCTCTGCTGCAGGCACAACGACTAAGATCACCACCATCCCCATGACCTCTAAGCCAAACGTAATCGTGGTGCAGAAAACTACAGGCAAAGGAGCGACCATCCAGGGGCTGCCTGGCAAGAATGTGGTCACAACGCTTTTAAACGCCGGGGTTAGTCCTTCACACTGTGATAAGACTTAGTTGTTAAGAAACAGATTCATTTCTTGCTGAAAGTTAAATGAGAAGGGTGATAGGAGTCTTATGTCTGTAGTAGCAATTAGCTTAGCTTTGTATAAGAAGGGAAATGGGTAGTCTGGCTCTAAAACTCCTTGATAACAAGCGATATCCTGCTTCCTTAATGTTGTAATTAGTGACTTCCTGGAGTCTCAATAGGACGTTTATGCTTCTGTTTGTGTTGAAAGTGTTCAGCCTGTTGAATTTCAACACAATGTTTTCTGTAGTTTGACCTTTATTTAATCAGGGGAATTTGGCTGAGAAGCAGACACTGTTTTTTTTCAGGAACTGCCTGATCACAATCTGCGCTGCAGTCATTTCATTTTTGAACAAGGGTGGGAGGAGCAGCATGCAATGCTGTTTGCAAAGCGCTTTTTTTTTTTTTTTTTTGGCTGCTGACACTGAGGCTGACAGTCACACGTTCACAAATTACACACATGGTGACTTCAATTTCCCTGACGTTAATTCCCTAAAATGTGGTAAATGTGGTAGTGTGATGAATTTACATTGTAGTTTTCAGGTTGCCTTATTTTGTATTTAAAGAGAACTTGTCTTTGTTTCCACATACAGTTTTCCTTTAAAGTCACATTAATAATAATAATGATCTTTATTGAGAGAGAATTTTGGAAAATCCAAGTTACAATGACAGCAAAATAACACAGATAAGTTACAAAATCATCAGGATTTAAAAAACGACAGAAAAAAACACACTTTGTTGTCAAAATCCTGAACAGGTTAGGAAGGTAAAAAGATCCAATACAATAACTTTGATGTAATATGTTTTTAAATAAAGACCTTGCATATGTATGTGTAGGACATGGTGTTGCCACAGATCAGTAGTTTAAGTACATTTCTCAGTAGCATGTTGATAACAGCACTGCTTGCTTCTCAATTGTGAAACTCTTTTATTGAGGGTCGACTCAGGCTACATTTTCCTGAACATTTGGAGGTTTCAGTGCTTTCTGAAATAAAACCAAGGATGTAATACAATCCTCCAGCTAGCAGCTTGTCAGCAGCTAACCACTAACTCGCTACGTGTTTCTTATCAGCTGTAGGCAGCAAATATATCAAATTAAACATAAAAACTACATCTTCTGACAAAGTGAACTACTTTTCCCATGTTTGTGTAGCTTAGATCGCTGTTTGTTTAGTGGGGCTTCATTTCATGTAAAGTGACTGCCAACCGAGCCTATACAGTTGCCAGACACTGATAATAAATAAGTATCTAACAAAATCCATGACGTTCTTAAGTAAAGTGCGTCCTGTTTGTGCTGCAGGGCGAGAAGAGCCTGCAGGCAGTCCAGGGAACCAAGCCAGCCATCATCACCGCTTCCAGACCCATCACCAAGATGATTGTCACCCAGCCCAAAGGCATGGGCTCCGGGTCCCAGTCCACCGCCACCAAGATCATCCCGACCAAGATCGTTTATGGCCAGCAGGGCAAGACACAGGTGAGTTTTCTCCCGTGGTGCTGTTTCATCATTAACACACTGTAAATGTGTCTCATGTCCCCTGACTCTCCAAAATTCGTCCCATGTAATAATGTGATATTTATGATGTGTGTGTGTGTGTGTGTCTTTTTTTTGTTTGTTTGATGTCTTTATATTAATTACTCAGTGAGCTTTTGAATTACCCCTAGGGTATAAATAAAGTTATTTGAATTTGAATAAGGGGTGCAAGATGGCTCGGTGGTTAGCACTGTTGCCTCGCAGCAAGAAGGGTGTGTCCTGGTGAGGACACTGGGATCTTTCTGCGTGGATTTTGCATGTTCTCCCCGTGCAACGTGGGTTCTCTCAGGGTTCTCCGGCTTCCTCCCACAGTCCAAAAACATGTTGAGGTTAATTGGTGATTCTAAATTGTCTGTAGGTGTGAATGTGAGTGTGCTTGATTGTCTGTCTCTGAGTATAGCCCTGCGATAGACTGGTGGCCTGTCCAGGGTGTCCCCTGCCTCCGCCCTAAGACAGCTGGGATAGGCTCCAGCCCCCCCACAACCCTAGTGAGGATTAAGCGGTGTATAGATTATGGATGGATGGATGGAATTTGAACAAATATTATCACTGGATCCTGGTTAACCACCGGCCACTGAGGTCATCATATGACTATTCACAAGTCATCAAGGGAATTTTCATATGACCTCTTGACTGACAAGAAACCACAAGGTTATTTTCTTGAAGTACAGTGGAGCAGTTTTAAGCAGGACAATACAAAGACGACTTCTTCTCTGAAAATGGGAACAGATTGTTTATTGTAGTCTTCTTAGTTTCCTCAGAGTTACGCAGTCACTCACTGATATTTTGACACCTGTGCTGGATGTTTTTCAGAGAAGTGAGAGCTGGTAATTAAAATAAACAGCCTAAACAGAAGAGAGAAATTCCCATTTCTAAAGGCTAACAAACAGTGGAACTCTAACACTTGTTTTTTCCTTCTTCCCTTCACTTTCCCCATTCAGGGAGAGAAATGAGCCTTTTAATGAAATGGACGGACAGTGATGCATTCTGCTGCTGACTGCTGTCTGTCTGTCTGTTTACAGCGAATCATGATCATGTTCCTGACCTTTGATATTAAAACTGCATTAAGTGATTATTTTGGCCGGCTGACATATTATCAGTGTGTAAAGCGTATTATATTTGCAAATGCTCGCCTATCCAGCCGATATAGTGCAACTTTAGTATTTATTTGGTGGTTTGCATTTGGCCACCTGACAGACAAGAGTTCAATATTCACTCTTGTCTTGGATCCATCAGCTCCTGAGAGAAAATACTTCAGTCTTCACCTGCTACATGTCTATCAGCTACATAAGCCCCTTTCAGACATGAACTCCTTTCCAGTAATCTGATGGTAATGATCGTGGTCACTTTTATGTAAAAATTGTGACTGAAATCTTATTAGGTAACCAGGTAACATTTCCCTTTCAATACTTCACAAGACTAAACTGCACCCAGTCACATTAACAGATTAACGCTGCTTTAAGTTGCGGGAAGTGATTACAAGAAGGCTTTTTCCACATTTAAGCACCAATTTTCATCCAAAAACTGTTTATTGAGTTTATTAAACACCTGCAGCCATATGAGCAACTCTGAGAGCTGCGGTCTTTTGCACACATGCAACAGCAGCACTAGTAACTTCATTAATTGCTTCTAATTAGAAATTATCCCCAACATGGAGACAGGATCAATTGGGATCTAGCAGCAGGTCACACTGTGTGCTTTTCTTTACATCAGACAGGTGAGCTGTGAGTCACAGTGTAGCTTGTTGCTTCCAGCTGTTTGTCTTTCCTCTGAGTTTGCTAAATACATGCAAGCAGGATCCATATGAGTGTTTCCAAAGTGAGAGAGTTGTGTGTATTTATGCACAGATCAACAGAAGTGACTTCATTAATTTGACATGGAGACAGGATTGGTCAGGATCTAGCCGTGAGGTGTGACTTTAACAGACTGATGAAACCAGCAATGTTACGTATCCCATGTGTGAAAGCGGATTTAATAACTTCGCCTCTTTGGCAATGTTTGTTGCTGGTTATGTAGTGTACAGTGGATTTATCACAGCTTTTTCTTCTAAATTTGCTGTTTGATCCTGGACATCAGGTTGATGAGAGCAGTGAGACTGAAACAAAAGTAAATTTGCAGCTTTACAAACCCAAACAGTGAGCTGAAAGAGGTAAAAACACGTAGCAAAGCTGAGGAGACTTGCAGAGTCAGGCGATCAGTGTCTGTGTGATTGTCACTGTGATGGCAAAGCAAGAATGATCAAATGATTAATTTGAGTCTGTTTTTGTATCTAATGTCTCTAATCAACCCCTAGTGCTTTCTCCTTTAAGGAGGTATAACGTACTAAGCCGTTCCAATGAAACCAGCCTCCGCTGCAGGTGTTTTTCAGTTCCAGGGTTTTTTTTTTTAATGTCCGTTTTTAAAATCTTGATGAAACAAAATTCTGTAGAAAGCTTTAATATTTCTAAAAAAAGATGTTGCAAATCCCTGTCGTAGGATGTGAAAGTGTCTGCCGTGGTTTCAGAGGAAACACCTAGTAACTGGTGGATGGTCACACTACATACCCAAATCTTCCTCCTAATATAATATTGTATGTAAATATACTGGGGGGATTTTAATTTAGAACATGAATTTCAAAATATTTTGTGATAGGGTAAATTCCGTTCTGCTGGTTTCCAGGTGTTTTTGCTGCTCAGTACCTCACTGACTTAAAACAGTGAAAGCTGAATGGAAATATCAGCTGTTAGCCAGTGTCCCTTTAGGAAGATCAGAATTAATATTTCATCATTACAAGAACTAACAACGTCCAGCGCCGCGCTGAGTGGCAGCACGGTACAGCAGCTCACGTCTTTTATTCTTTTCTTTTCCTTTTTTTGTACTTGTTTTTCATCAGTTAGTGCAGTAATGGCCACTCTTAGTTTTGCTAGTTTTATTCTAGTTTTGCTGCTACTTTTTACAACTGAAAGCTTTGTTTACACACGGGACCAGCTGATCGCGCTCAGTAAACCGCTGCTACTGCACGGAGCGAGGCCTGAAATCCCCGAGGAGCTACGAAGGAGACGCCGGGGTTGCAGAGCTGGAGCTAAGCTGAAAGCCAAGCGGAGGAAATTCAAACCTGCTGTACCAGCGATCATCATGGGGAATGTAAGATCTTTAGGCAATGAGATGGACGAGCTTGCGGCGCTTGTAAAGACTCAGAGGGAGTTCCGTGAGTGCAGCATCATGTGTTTCACGGAGACATGGCTACACTCGCTTTTCCCGGATTCCAGCGCTGCTGTACCTGGCTTCCAGACAGTACGGACGGACAGAGACGTGGAGAGGAGCGGTAAGAAGAAAGGAGGGGGGATGGCACTGTTTATCAATGAGAGATGGTGTAACCCTGGACATGTTACCGAGAAGGAACGTTTCTGTAGCCCAGACATTGAACTGTTAGTCGTGGGAATGCGTCCATACTATAAGGGAGCTCACTTCCGCCATTGTAGTCACTGTTTACGTTCCCCCATCAGCTGATGCAGAGGCAGCGTGCCACACCATTCACTCCACCATCTCCAAACTACAAACTCAGCATCCAAATGCTTTTATAACAATAACTGGGGACTTCAACCACGTTACACTGGATAAAATTCTCCCAACTTTTTGCCAGTTTGTTAACTGCCCCACTAGAGACAATAGAACACTGGACCTCCTGTATGCAAATGCAAAGGACGCATACAGTGCCACCGCCCTCCCCCCACTTGGCAGATCTGATCACAATCTGGTCCTTCTGACACCGAAGTATGTTCCTCTTGTTCAACGGCAGCCTGCTTCCACAAGGACTGTTAGGAGGTGGAATCAGGAGGCCAAGGAGGCTCTGCAGGACTGCTTTGAGTCAACTAACTGGGAAGTGCTATGTGGTCCACATGGGGGGGACCTCAACAACATGACAGACTGCATCACAGAATACATAAAAGTCTGTGAGCAGACCACCCTGCCAGCCAAGACCGTACGCTGCTTCCCCAACAATAAACCCTGGATCACCAGTGACCTGAAAGTCCTCCTCAACAAGAAGAAGAAGGCCTTCAGGTCTGGGGACAAGGAGGAAATGAGGAGGCTACAACAAGACCTGAAGGTGGAGCTGAGGAGGGCCAAGGACTCCTACAGGAGGAAGTTGGAGGCCAAACTCGAGCGGAACAACACGAGAGGTGTGCGGACTGGAATGAGGGAGATCACTGGCTTCAATGTGAGAAGCAGACAGCCAGTGAGTAGCCCAGACAGAGCAAATGAGCTAAACTGTCTTTAACAGATTCAGTTCACAGCCCTCAGCTGTGTCCTCCTCCCCCACACACTCTAGCCTCCACTCACACACCCCCTCTCCCCTCTGAACTCCGTGGATCAACCCCCCTCACCTTTGATGTGCTCGATCCCCCCACTGACTGTGACGACCGACCAGGTGAGAGGACAGCTGGTGAGACTACACCAAGGCAAGGCAGCAGGCCCTGATGGTATCAGCCCTAAGGTACTGAGGACCTGTGCCAGCCAGCTGTCTACTATCCTGTGCCACCTCTTCAACCTGAGCCTGACCCAGGAGAAGGTGCCCACACTGTGGAAGACCTCCTGTCTGGTTCCTGTTCCCAAGAAGTCGAGGCCCTCTGATCCCAAAGACTACCGATCGATAGCCCTCACATCTCATGTAATGAAGGTGCTGGAGAGGCTGGTCTCGGCCCATCTCCGTCCGCAGGTGAAATCTTCCCTTGACCCTTTGCAGTTTGCTTACCAGCCTCGTCTGGGAGCCGAGGATGCTGTCATCTACCTGCTGCAGAGGGCTCACTCACACCTGGATGGTACTGGCTGCACAGTGAGAATCACTTTCTTTGATTTCTCCAGTGCATTCAACACCATCCAGCCACTTTTGCTGAGGGAGAAGCTGCAGACGATGATTGTAGACTCACCCACGGTCTCCTGGGTTACTGACTACCTGACAGGCAGGCCGCAGTTTGTCCGTCTTGGAGCTGCCCTGTCTGATGTGGTAGCTAGTGACGTAGGAGCCCCACAGGGCACTGTGCTCTCTCCATTCCTGTTCACCCTGTACACCTCAGACTTTCAAGACAACTCTGAGTTGGTCCACTTGCAGAAGTTCTCTGACGACTCTGCAGTGGTTGGGTGTATACGTGGTGGACGGCATGAGGAGTACAAAGCGCTGGTGAGTGATTTTGTGGAGTGGTCTGGGAGGAACCATCTGCTCCTGAATGTGGCCAAGACCAGGGAGATGGTGATCGACTTCAGGAAGACGAGGACGACCACACAGCCCCTGAACATCCTGGGAGAGGACATTAAAGCGGTGGAGGACTACAAGTACCTGGGCGTCCACATTGACAGCAGACTGAACTGGAGGATCAATACCGAGGCTGTATACAAGAAGGGGATGAGCAGACTCTACTTCCTGAGGAAGCTAAGATCCTTCGGCGTGTGCAGCAAGATGTTGACATTTTCTATCAGTCTGTTGTTGCCAGTGCAGTGTTCTCTGCTGTAGTCTGCTGGGGAGGCAGCATCGGAGCCAGCGACACCAACAGACTGAACAAACTGATCAGGAAGGCTGGCTCCGTAATCGGCTGCAAACCGGACACCATGGAAGCGGTGGTGGAGGGGAGGACTCTGAACAAACTGTTATCTATTCTGGATAACCCCGACCACCCTCTCCACCCCCTTCTGGACAGGCAGCGGCGCTCCTTCTCAAACAGACTGATTCAGCTCCGCTGTCACAAGGACCGGTACAGGAAATCATTCCTGCCCAGAGCAATAACTCTGTACAACATCTCACCTCTGTCTGGCAGAGAGCATTCTCAGCTCTCTGCTCTGTAAAACCCTCTGTCTTTGCACTGTTTTTTCAATGTGCACATTTTGTACAGTTGTTTTATTTATTTTCTATTATTCACTTATTTTTATTTGTAATTTTTTAAATACTATTTAATTTTGACTCTTTTTCTGTTGGGATTGGTGTTTTTCTCTTGCTGCTGTACCACAGTAATTTCCCAGACTGGGATTCAATTCAATTCAATTCAATTTTATTTGTATA